ATCTTGAGAAAGAAGAACAAAGCATCAGGCTCCCTGATTTCAGACTGTATTATAAAACTATAGTAATCAAACTACTACAGTATTGACATAAAACAGACACACAGGGGCACCTAGGTGGCTCAGTCAGTTGAGCATCCAACTCTTGATCTCAGCTCAAATCTTGATCTCAGGGTCATGAGTTCAAGTCCCACATTGGGCTCCATGCTGGGCATGGAGCCTACCTAAAAACAACTGGGGCACCTGACTGGCTCCATCATTTAAGTGACCACCTTTGGCTCAGGTCATGATCCTGGGGTCCTGAAATTGAGCCCCGCTTTTGGCACCCTGCTCAGCAGGGAGTCTGCTTCTCCCTCTTCCTCAACCTTCCCCCCTGCTCTTTTTCTCACTTGCTGTCTCTCTCTCTCTCTCTCTCTCAAACGAATAGATAAATCTTTATGAAAAAAATTAGAAACAACAAAAAACCAGATACACAGATCAGTGGAACAGAATAAAGATCCCAGAAATAAACCCATACATATATGGTAAATTAATTTAGAAAAAGGCACCAAGGGGGCACATGGGTGGCTCAGTCGTTGAGCGTCTGCCTTCAGCTCCAGTCACGATCCCAGGGTCCTGGGATCGAACTCTGCGCTTCTCCCTCTCCCTCTGCCTGATGCTCCCCCTACTTGTGCTCACTCTCTCTCTGTCAAATAAATAAAATCTTTAAAAAAAAAAAGGCACCAAGAATATACAATGGGGAAAGGACAGTCTCTTTAATAAATGGTGTTGGGAAAACTGGACCACTTTCTTAGGCCATATACAAAAATTCACTCAAAATGGATTAAAGACTAGAATGTAAGACATGAAACCATAAAAACTCTGGAAGAAAATATAGAGAGTAATAAGTTCCTTGACATCGATCTTGGCAGTAATTTTTGGATTTGACACCAAAAGCAAAGGCAACAAAAGCAAAAATAAACAATTGGGACTACATCAAACTAAAAAGTTTCTGCATAGCAAAGGAAACCAGTAACAAAATGAAAACGCAACCTACTGAATGGAAGAAAATATTTGCAAATCATGTATCTGATAAGGGGTTAGTATCTAAAATATATGAAGAACTCAGACAATAGCAAAAAAAATTAATCCAATTTAAAAAATGAACAGATGCTCTGAATAGGCATTTTTCCAAAGAAGACATACAGAAGGCCAGTGGGTACATTAAAACATCTCCAAAGTCACTAATCAGGGAAATGCAAATGAAAACCACAGTGGGCTATCACATCTGTTAGAAGAACGGCTATTATCAAAAAGAACAAAGGGGTAGGACTGCGAGGGGAAAAATACCAAGCGTTGGCAAGGATGTGGAAAAGGGGATCTTTGTGCACTGTTTGTGGTAGTATATATCGGAGCAGCCACTATGGAAAAAATAGATCTGCCATATGATCCAGCAATTTCACTTTTGGGTATTTATTTATATGAAGAAAACAAAACACTAACTTGAAAAGGTATGTATCACCCCCATGTCATTACAGTATTATTTACAATAGCCAAGATATGGAAACAACCTTAAGTGTCCATCAGTGGATGAATGGATAAAGAAAATGTGATGTGTGTGTGCATGCACACACATATATACACATATATAAATAAAATGGAATATTATCAGCCATAAAAAAGAATAAAATATACCACATCCATTTGTGAGAACATGGATGGACCTTGAGAGCAGCATGCTAAAATGAAATAAGTCAAAGACAAAAGCATCATATGATCTCATTTATATGTGGAATCTAAAAAACAAAAACTAAAAAAACCAAGACAGAACAGATTGGTGGTTACCATAGTTGGGGGTTGGGAGGGATGGATGAAATGGGTGAAGGGAGTGGAAAGGTACAAATTTTCAGTTATAAAATAACTGTCATGGTGATAAAAGGTACAACATGGTAATTGTAAGTAATAATACCATATTGCATATTTGAAAGTTGTTAAGAGAGTATGTCTTAAAAATTATTGCAGAGACAAATTTCTAAATATGGTGACATGTTAACTAGACTTATGGTGATCATTTTGCAATATACACAATATCAAACATGTTATGCACCTGAATCTAGTAGGTTTTGTATGTTAATTATACCTCAACTAAAAGAAAGTTTAGAACAGGAATGGAGCAAAAGCATACTGAGCATAAACAAGGCCAGACTTGCCTTGAACTTCAGGCAGTGTTTGTTAAGTGCTTTTGGTGGACTTCGTCTTTTGTGTGATATATAGACAAATCTGGTAGGCTTTAGTACCAAAGACAGGAAAATCCCACTCCCATAGGCTCACATGCATAAGACTTAAAAGAAGGTCCATGTGAACATAAAGCCTGAAAAGATGTGCAAATCCTCTTTTTTCTTTCTGATCAAACCTTTTTTTTTTTTAATGATGCTATTGCTGGGAGTCTATTTAGTGTATTAAATTGTATCTTAAACAGCTTAACTAGTGCAGTGGGAAGAAGTTAGAGGTTTTGAAGGCTGAAGATTAGAGGTGGGTTTTATAAAAATGGGTGCACTTTAATATTTAAAATGTTTGGTTGAGTAATATATGTACATACGCACACATTCAGAGGAAAATACACATAAGTATATAGCTTGGTGAATTTTCACAACTGAATATATCCATATAATCAACACCCAGACCAAACCAGAACCTAAACAGCATCCCAGATACTCTCATTGTTCCTCTTCCAGTTATTTCCTACTCAGAGTAACCAGTATTCTGACTTTAATGCTATAGATGTGCTTTGTTTGATTTTGTTCCCTATCTAAATTAAATCATACAGTATATACATGTTCGTGTCTCTTCTTTTGCTTGAAAATATTTTAAGATTTATTCACATTTTCTTCTATATGGTTAGAGTTTATTCATTTTCAGTACTATACAAAATTCTATTGTATGAATATAACAACGTACCCATTCTACTGTTAGGCATTTGAATGGTTTCCAGTTTGGGGCTATTCTATATTGTGCATTATCTAATATATTATATTAATGTATTTTGATATATATGCATAAATTTCCTAGGATATTTCACAGTTTTTTATCCATAGTCAGCGAACTACTAAGTGTTCGTCAGCATTGCAGTCTATATATTTGCTCTGTGTACCTTACTCAGATGGAACTGTAGTCGCAGGTATTACCAAATCCTTCCCTTAGTGTTCTCACTAGACTTTTTCTAAAACTCACTTGGATTTTCAACATATATTTTGGTTAAGTGTCAATATTAATGTGTTTTATCAGATTGTGGGTGCTTTTTAGTCTTTGTTTTACTTGCTTGTGTATCCCAGCAGCTGGCACAGTTACCTGAAAAATAGTAAGCTGCTTGAGTGAATGGTGATGGCCATCATCATTGCCAGAGATTAACACAGCAAGTTCCCTAGGTTATGTGAACCATCTAGTTCAGGTAAAATCCTTGCTTTAGTTTGACATCTCAGAGTCAAAGGGTTAGGAATGGGAGGTGATCACTCTCTGAGAAGCCTACAGCAGGGCTCGGAACTGAACATGCTGTGTGGTTAGGGGGAATTGCTGTGGCTTTACAAGCCTCTTGGAGATTGCATGTGTTAACAGCAGTGATTCCAAAGGGTAGTGTGGGGGCCAGATATAAATAGCAGAACACAAATGGGGTGAGGTGCCACTGCCAAGCTACTGCTGGGGGTGTTTATAAAAAGAAAAGCATTCCCTCTCAGCTCTCACTGTCAACAACCTCCCATCCTGAAGACACGCTTACCACAACTGAGGGAGTGGGGAAACAGTTTGAGACCTAGCATCAGTTAAACCTCCTCCACAGGCAGAAAAGCCAGGTAAACATTTTGACTTATTTACACTCAGCTACAGAAGTAAAGAATTTTCAGAAAATCCTGATTCAGAGCTTGCTTGGCACATACTGCCTCATGACAGTTATCTGTCAAGTATTATATTTCAAATCTTTTTTAGAAAGTGAAGTTTAACACAAAAGTGGCATTTTGGTTGTATATTTCAGAGTCTCTAGTGAAAGAAACTGCTCCTGAGTAAAGATGGGAATGTGGGGCCAAAGAGAGAACTCTCCTTTCCCCTATGCTGTTTATTCCCATTTGCAGATGCCAGAATATGTTGATTGGTAGGATAAAGTAGAGATCTCTGTTCAGTTCCAGTAAAGTCAGCTTTGTTACAGGTATGTGGAAAGAACCAACCTTTAATTGAGTCAGTTAATGGCTGTGGGGACAGCTTCAGCTCTTGAGGACCTCTCACCCTCCTCTTTACCCCTTTCAGTCTCCTAAATATTGGGACAAGTATTGGGCATTTGGCCAAAGAGTTGTATAATCTTATTAGAATTCCTGCCCACCTAATTTTTTCTTATTTTCATTCCTGCCATCAGAAATTTATGCAAGACACTTGTTTTATCCTTGGGCTTCTCTTGAATCTGAATATTTGGGGGAAGGAGGCCCCCTTGGGTAACCCTTCAGTTAGTAACACTACTGATCTCATCATTCCCTCCATCCTACACAGATGGGTGTGACTTAGTTTGCAAAGAGGATAAAAGAATGGATGATGTGCATGGACCATAACTACTGGGGAAGTTTTGGAAACTAGGAGCTAGGAGACCACCAGTCTGAAGTGATTGTTTTTTATAGTTTGTGTTATTTCCTGTGTAGGCTAAGGGGAAATTCAGAGATAGGAAGAAAATATGACTACCAATGACTGTCCATGATGGGAGAGACAGCATGGCTGGAGGAGAATGGAAATGGACAGATTTAATCTTGAACAAATTTCTGAAGTTCTCTGAGCTTTTGTTTCCCTATCTGTAGAATGAGGATGTTAGCCACCAGACAGAATCTAATGGCCCTTCCAGCCATTGGAAATTTACTGATGATCACTTCCTGACCATCATGATATCTACTCTCACCCTGAATGAAATACATACACTGTGTCATCCTGCTCTACTTCCCTACACTTACTCTTTTTTAAGTCTGCTAAATTGGAATTTCTTCATTTTAATTTAGAAGAGAAAAATGAAGACCGGACATTTTGATATGGTCACCATGCTGCTGGCAGCTATGATTCTAATGGACATTTTCCAGGTAATGTTGGGAATGGGAAGTATGTGGTCATTGGAATGGGAACTCTTGATATAATGTTGCCTGAGGCAACATTGGGTGGGTTGATGTTGGAAATGAGAGTGGATAGAATAAATAGAATAGGTAAATTAGATTTTTACAAGTAGATTTTATCTTTTCATTTTACACATTAGATACAGGCCAACTGTAGAAAGTTGAAAAAATTAAAATTAAGCAAACAGAGGAAAGTAAAAATCATTCACAATCCCTCCACTCAGAGGAAAAAGACTCTTAATCTGTTGGTGTATAGTCTTGGCTTTTTTCTGTGTGTGTGTTTATAATTTAGAAAAATGGGTTCACACTGTACAAAGTATTATTTTACTTTGCTTTTTAAGTTACTACTGTATATAAATGTTTATGTCATTAAGTATTCTTAAAATATTTATTTTGTCCAAATAAGATGACACTGCAGTGTTTGGTTGTGTGTGTTTTGTTGAACTATATAATGACCATTTTCTCACATCTGGTGTTCTTTTTTTCTGATAAAACTTGTATGATTTTATTTTTTGCAGTTGAATCTTTAAACATTCTGTAACATTTTTATGTAAAATATGAGCGAGGCATCTCATTTGATTTCTTTCTCGACAGTGTTAACTGTCACATCACTACTGAATATTTTTCCACTGTTTTGAAGTGCCTTCTTTAAAATATGTTAAGTTCTGGGGCACCTGGGTAGCTCAGCCGTTAAGCGTCTGCCTTCGGCTCAGGTCATGATCCCAGGGTCCTGGGATCGAACCCGCATCAGGTTCCCTGCTCCGTGGGAAGCTTACTTCTCCCTCTCCCACTCCCCCTGCATGTGTTCCCTCTCTCACTGTGTCTCTGTCAAATAAATAAATAAAATCTTAAAAAAATAAAATAGGGGCGCCTGGGTGGCTCAGTCGTTGGGCGTCTGCCTTCGGCTCGGGTCATGATCCCAGGGCCCTGGGATCGAGCCCCGCATCGGGCTCCCTGCTCAGCAGGAAGCCTGCTTCTCCCTCTCCCCCTGCTTGTGTTCCCTCTCTCGCTGTGTCTCTCTCTCTGTCAAATAAAATCTTTAAAAAAAATAAAAATAAAATAAACTATGTTGTTCTTAAAATTTTATTTTGCATTTAATATACTGATCCCTTGTCAAGGGAATCATTGTGTATTCTGTTGCCTGTACTGCCGTATGATTTTTTAAATTGAGGTATAATTTACATATCATAAAAAAATCACCATTTTAAAGTACATAATTCAGTGGTTTTCATAAATTCACTGTGTTGTACAGCCATCACCACTATCTCATTACAGAACATTCCCATCACCCCCAAAAAGAAGTCCTGTAGCTATCACAATCAGTCCCAATTCCCTCTTCCCTGCATCCCTTAACAGCCATTACTACTTTCTGTTTCTGTGGATTTGCATATTCTGGTTGTTTCACCAGAATGTAATCGTACAGTATCTGGCCCTTTATGTGGCTTCTTTCACTTAGTATATTGTTTTCAAGGTTCATCTGTGTTGTAGCATATACTAGTACTTCATTACTTTTTAGAGCTGAATAATATTCCATTGTATGGTTATGCCACATTTTGTTTATCCATTTATTAATTTTTTTAAGATTTTATTTATTAGAGCATGAGCAGGAGTGGGGGGAGGGGCGGGGGGGGGGAAGCAGACTCCCCGCGAGCAGGGAGCCTGAGATCAGGACCTGAGCTGAAGACAGATGCTTAACCGACTGAGCCAGCCAGGCACCCCTACCCATTTATTAACTGATGGACATTTGGGTTCTGTTCTCACTTTTTAAAGGCTCTTAGGAATGAATAATTCTGCTTTGAACTTTCATGTATAGATTTTTATGTGAACATGTTTTCAGTTCTTTTGGGTATGTAACTATGAGTAGAATTGCTGGGTCATATGGTAATTTTATGTTTTCCATATTGGCTGTACCATTTTATATTCCCACCAGCAATGTATGAGGGTTCAATTTCTCTACATCTTTGCCAACACTTATTTTCCTTATGATTATAGCCATTCTAATGGATGTGAAGTGGTATCTCACTGTGGTTTTGATATGCATTTTTAACATTCTTTTGTAACATAATTTCATGTGTGTTCTGTGACTGTTCTGTAATTTGTTTAACCAGTTTCTTTTCATTAACATTTAGGTCATTTCCACATTTTTGGTAATATTTTTGTAATGAATTTTTGCTAATTAAATTTCATTAGTAAGGGCTTTTGTTTCAGTGATAAAACAGAGGAAGAAAATATTATCAGTGTGTTCACCTAGCCTTTTGGACATGTCCCTTAATATCCATTCAGTTGTCCCTGAATGGTGATGGCATTTGTGAACTTTTTCACTGCTCAAGGTACTCACTGTACAGAACACACAATCAACTGTGGCTTTGGGCCAGAAAGACTTAATGTCTAAAATTAGACCTGTGGAGACTGGTTAGAGGCATAGGAAAAGAAAGGAACATGCTGGATAGGATATGATATCACTCTGATATGATGTGACTCAGATATGATGTGAGGAATGTGGGAGGTGGTTTCAGGGTGTGATGTCTTAAGTCTTGAAAATGAGTCAGGTATTAGTGCCCAAGATACACCGTGGTACGTTCTGTGCTGCAAAGGAAAAGCATTTCTTGGCTAGGAGATGGCAGTGATTTAATCTCCTGAAGCTCAGATTCCCACTTCAGGAAACTGACCTACAGACCCAGGAGTTCAGTGGTCTCAATGACTTCCCCAGCAGAATATTCCGTGGCTGATAATAAAGACCGTTTCTGATGCTGGCCTAGTTTCTTCATTTATAAAATGATGTTATGAATTGTCTGCCCAACCTTTCATAATAGTTGTTAGGAGGAGAAAATTACAGTCTTCTGAAAGTGCTACATAAATGTCTGTGGTCTTTATCATTGGAAACAGGGCATTTTGTTTAAGAAGACAGATGCTGGGGCCAGATTGCCTGGCTTCAAATCTCAATTTCAGACAAGTTACTCTGTCTTAGTTTGCTCATCCTTAAAAAAGGGACTAATAGTATCTACCGCACAGGGTTGCTATGAAGATTAAATGATTTCATTAATATATAGGAACACTTAGTGCTTGGCTTACAGAAGACACCCTGGAGAAGTTTGTTAGGTCTTAGTGATAGAGTGACCACAGAGGGTGACTGAGAAGAAGATACCTAGAAAAACTCTAAAATGAATAGATGGGTCTTTGTAAGGACCAGGTTGTTGATGGGTGCTGTAGGCACTAAGATGGTAAGTTTGCTCTTAGACTATTAACAGTTGAAGGGTCTTTGTGCAATTCAAGTGGAGTTACTAAGTAGGCAATTGATAATACGGGTCTGGCACTTACAGGGACAGGTCAGAGAGATTTGATGATAATTGACACTATGAGCATGTATATAATTGCCTAAGTTGAGAGTTAAAAAATAAATAGCTTTGAGAAACTCCCAACATTTAATGGCCAATAGAATATGTTGGATCTTCAAAAGAATCTAAGAGGTGTTCCCTTAGTGAGAGTTGTTTCAGTGGAGGAATGGGAGTGGGATTGAGTAAAGAGGATTGAGATGTGAGTGGAAATGAAATGGCGATATCAAGGGTAGACGTTTCTTTCAAGAAGTTTGTCTGTGAGGGGGAGAAGAGAGATAGTAGGAAGCAGATAGCCTGGGATATTTATTTTGCTTTTTTAGGTTGATTCTCTCTCTCTCTCTTTCCCCCTTCTCCCTCCCCTCACTCCTGCCACACCCACTTTCACTCACACACTTACACGCTTTTTAAGAATCATTCATGAGGGGCGCCTGGGTGGCTCAGATGGTTGGGCGTCTGCCTTCGGCTCAGGTCATGGTCTCAGGGTCCTGGGATCGAGTCCCGCATCGGGCTCCCTGCTCCTTGGGAGCCTGCTCCTCCCTCTGCCTTTCTCTCTCTCTGTCATGAATAAATAAATAAAATCTTTAAAAAAAAAAAAAAAAAGAATCATTCATGAGGTAAAAAAAAAAAAATCATTCACTCGGAGGCTGCAACTTTAACAGCTCCTAAGGGTCCTTATAAAGTTTTCAGCTGAGGTCTCCTGCTTAGGTTGTGGCTTATGCAGCCAATGTACTATTACAAGTATAGAATAGTGGAAAGAGAAAATGATGAGGGAATTACCCTTTTATTTGTAGAAACCCTTAAGTGGTGTCCCCGGGCAGATTTGCTTGTCCTTTGTTTTGATCCATAGGCCAGAGTACAGGATTTCTTTTTATTTAGTGCCCGCGGTTCTTGGTCACACCGCTTCAAAGAATGAAGAGGCAGACCAGATGAAGAGTGGTGGGCAGCAAAGCAAAGTTTATTGAGCCATAGCAAAATGATAGTACAAAGCTCTTGAAGAGGGAGGGGACCCAGGAGGGTGGCCCCCAGAGTTTCTAAGTCTAGGGATTTTTATGGGCTTGTTGGCAGGCTGTTTTAATCTGATTAACCCTCCCTGCACGGGTCACCCAATCACATTTTTGTCATCTATCTATCACGTGGGAAAGGGTGGAGGGCTCTTTCCGGGGGTGGTGTAAAATCTTTTAAGGTGGGGGGTGGGGCTTCCTTGCCTGCCTTTTCTTCCAACTGTCCTTCATTAATTTAGTTCACTTGAATATTTTGCTAGTTGCTCTGCTAGCAGCTTGGAATTCAGAAGGTAAATGTGACACATTTCCTGCCCTTGAGGAGCTTACAGTATAATACATGTATTCCTATCATTAAATAATGAAAATAACCACAGTGTGTTGAAGGCTTAATAGGTGGGTGGGCAGTGTGGGTAAGGGGTTTGCATATATTCATTTTATCATTAGTTCTTTACAACAGTCCTGCAGTTAAGATATTATTTCCCTTATCCTCATTTTTAGATGAGAAAATTGAAGCTCAGAAATGTGAAATAACTTTCCCATATCTAATTAGTATCTAGTTATGGAATTTGAACCCAGATTTGTCTGGCTCCAAGCTAGTGCTAATTATATGATACAACCCCACTTATTATGTTGTATGTATTATTTAAAGATACATTAGGCCTTTTTCGGTTGTGTGTGACAGAAACACAATTCAAACTAGCTCAAGCAGATATGGAATTTATTGATTCTTATGGTAAAACTTTCAGGTACAGCTAGACCCAGGGTCTTAACTAATGTCATCGGGGCCTCTTCTCTCTCCCTTTTAGCTCTGCAGGCCTTTCTTTGTTGGCTTTATTTACAGTCAGGATTCTCCATGGAACTAAAAGGATAAGCACTGGCTGCCCCAAGCTAATATGACGGGTGGAGCTTATGGTTGTAGACGGAAGAAGCTTTTTTTCTCCCCCCTAGGAGCACTCTGGTTTTTAAACCTGCATCACTAGGGCACCTGGGTGGTTCAGTCAGTTAAGCATCTGATTCTTTTTTATTATTATTAATATATAATATATTATTTGTTTCAGGGGTACAGGTCTGTGATTCATCAGTCTTACACAATACACAGTGCTCCCCACAACACATACCCTCCCCAGTGTCCATCGCCCAGCCACCCCATCCTTCCAATCCCCTTCCCTCTAGCAACCCTCAGTTTGTTTCCTGAGATGATGAGTCTCTTATGGTTTATCTCTCTCTCTGGTTTTGTCTTGTTTCTTTTTTTTTTCCTATCTTCCCCTCTGATCCTCTGCCTTGTTTCTCAAATTCCACATATCAGTGAGATCATACGATAATTGTCTTTCTCTGATTGACTTATTTCGCCTAACATAATACCCTTTAGTTCCAACCACGTCATTGCAAATGGCAAGGTTTCATTTTTTGATGGCTGCATAATATTCCATTGTATATATATATACCACATCTTTACCATTCATCTGTTGATGGACATCTGGGCTCTTTCCATAGTTTGGACATTGCTGCTATAAATTTTGGGATACACGTGCCCCTTTAGATTACTACATTTGTATCTTTGGGGTAAATACCCAGTAGTAAGCATCTGATTCTTGATTTCGGCTTAGGTCATGATGTCAGGGTTGTGAGATTGAGCCCCACATGGGGCTCTGCACTGCTGAGTGTGGAGCCTGCTTAAGATTCTCTCTCTCCCTCTCCCTGTGCCCCTCCCCACCCCACCTGCTCACATGCTCTTTCTCGTGCGTGCACGCTCTTTCTCTCAAAAAAAAAGAAAAAAGAAAAGAAAACACCCCTGTATCATTACTTATCATTGGAGAGAAGGTGCAGAATCAGTTCTACCCAAACCACGTGTGCAAGGGAGGGGGAATCCTCAAAGGAAAATGAATAATATTGATCATTATGTATCATGTACCGTATTTCACACATGATATTTCAGAGTCATTCAGCAGTCTTAAGGGGTTGAAAAAATCTAGCTAAGAATATTGTTTAAAGCCAAGACTGCTACCCATTCCTTTAATTTCACACTTACTCTTTCTTCTGCACCATAAGGTTCAGATGAGTGAATTACAGGCATAATCGTTCCCATACTTCTCATTGCTAACCTTTACTGTTTCATACAAAGAGATCACAGCTGACAAAAGTTATCAGTAACAGTGGGATATACTTCCTACATAAAAATCATGTCCAAAGTTGGGTCTAAGCAAGGGAGAGATTCTAGGCAGGGCATGAGAGGGTGGGGACAGTAAGGGAGAGAAAATGATATACACCAAACATCTCATTTCAAGAGTATTAATTTCCTTTTCCTTTTCTTTTGAAGGTGAAGGCTGAAATGTTAGACATGGCAGATAATGCATTTGATGATGAATACCTAAAATGCACTGACAAAATGGAAGTCAAATATGTTCCCCAATTGCTCAAGGAGGAAAAAGCAAGCCATCAGCTCTTGAAGGATGTGTGGGAAAATGCAGAAGCCAGATGGGAAGCCCGGAAGACTCGCATCTTTCTCCCTATGAGTTTTAAAGATAACCATGGAATAGCACTGATGGCATATGTTTCTGAAGCTCAAGAGCAGAGTCCCTTTTACCATATGTTCAATGAAGCTGTGAAGACGGCCGGCCTATCTCGAAAAGATTATATCTATGACTTCCAGTTCAAAGCTTTTCATTTTTACCTGACAAAAGCCCTGCAGTTGCTGAGAAGACCTTGTGAGGACAGTTACAAAACTGTGGTGTATAGTATAAGCCAGGATGTCTCATTTACATTTGGAGGGCTAAACCAAGCCAGATTTGGCCATTTCACCTTGGCGTATTCAGCCAAACCTCAAGCTGCTAATGACCAACACATTCTGTTAACCATCCACACATGCTTTGGAGTTGCTATAGAAAATTTTTTTGATAAAGAAAGTGAAAGAATTATTTTAATACCTCTGAATGAGATTTTTAATGTGTCACAGGATGGAGCCAGCAATAACCTTATCCTTCAAAGCACAAACAAGACCTGCAGCCATTATGAGTGTGCATTTCTAGGTGGTAAGTGTCTCTGTTTTGTCTGCGCTTGTCTGGGAAGAAAGGAGTTGGATCTTAGGCCCAGGGAAAGGTCAGGAAAGAAACTGACAGGTGTTTGAAAAGAGAAATGACATGGATGGTCTCTAGCTCCGTTCATATCATTAGTTTTTTTCCCCATAATTTAATTTTATCAAAATAATACATTTATAGCATTCTGAAAGTTAAATAAAATACTGTAAGGCAATGGTTCTCAACTGGGGCAGTTTTGCCCTGCAGGGTCATTTGGTAATAACTGGAATTTTTAACTCTCACAGTCATCCCTAGTTGCTACTAGTAGCATCTAATGGGTAGAGGCCAAGGACACTGCTAAACAAAATGCACAGAATAGCCCCCCACAACAAAGAAGTACCTGGCCCATAACCGTACTTGTAAGGCTTATGAAAAATAGCAACTCCCTGCCCCACTGTTCCCTATCCCCAATTTTCACTCCTCAGTGGCATTCATTTTTAATTTTTCAGCTACAGTTTTTTTTAAAAGATTTTATTTATTTGCGAGTGAGAGCACAAGCAAGGTGAGAGGTAGAGGAGACTGAGAAGCAGACTCCCCACCAAGCAGGGAGCCCAACGTGCGGCTCGATCCCGGTACCCTGGGGTCATGACCTGAGCCGAAGGCAGACACCTAACCACCTGAGCCACCCAGTTGCCTCTCAGCTAAAGTTTTGTTTTGTTTTGTTTTTTAGATTTTATTTTTATTTATTTGACAGAGAGACAGCGGGAGAGGGAACACAAGCAGGGGGAGCAGGAGAGGGAGAAACAGGCTTCCCACAGAGCAGGGAGCATGATGTGGGGCTCGATCCCAGGACCCTGGGATCATGACCTGAGCCAAAGGCGCTTAATGACTGAGCCTCCCAGGTGCCCCTCAGCTAAAGTTTTTTTTTTTTTTAATTTTTATTTATTTATTTGACAGAGAGAGATACAGCGAAAGAGGGAACACAAGCAGGGGGAGAGGGAGAGGGAGAAGCAGAAGCAGACTCCCAGCTGAGCAGCGAGCCCGATGCGGGGCTCGATCCCAGGACCCTGGGATCATGACCTGAGCCGAAGGCAGACGCTTAACCATCTGAGCCACCCAGGCGCCCCTCAGCTAAAGTTTTTAATAATATATTTCAGCATGTTATTTCTTGATTTTTAAATTTTTAAACCTCATCAGTTACATTATCAGTAACTCAGTCTCAGCTTTTGTCTTTCTGTTCCACCAATCTTACCCTGTTGGGTTTATTGATTCATGTTTGCAATGTGACTCTTGTAGCTGTAGGCATCAATCCATGTTCAAGACAAAAGGAAAGGGAAGTGGGATGGCAGCTAGATCTTCCTATTTAATCAGGAAAGTAAAAACTTTCCCAGAAACTGCTAGTAGTTTTCTGATAACATATCATGGACCAGAACAGCTACTTGATAATCCATAACTTGAAGAAAAGCTTGGAAATGAGGTAATTAGCTTTTTTCAGCCTCTCTAGCACAGGGAGGCAAGGAGAAGGGAGTTAGAAATAGTTGTCATGTCAGTAAACCAAATATATCTCATAACCACCACCCTACGCTCCTCCTCAGTGTTTGTGCCTTTCCCCCTTCCCAATCCCCCATTGTAATAAAGACTGGTACCTTTTTATTTATTTTTTTAAGATTTTATTTTTTTATTAGAGCACGAGCAGGGGGAAGAGGCAGAGGCAGAGGGAGAAGCAGACTCCCTACTGAGCAGGGAACCTGATGTGGGGCTCCACTGCAGGACCCTGAGATCATGACCTGAGTTAAAGGCAGGCACTTAACCAACTGAGCCACCCAGGCACCCCAAGACTCATACCTTTTTAAATACCTTTTTTACCCCAGGGTTATTAGTTGTATGATTTTTTTTTTGTTTCCTTAGTTTTTTATATCCCATCAATGATTCACCTCCAAATCCTTAGAAATATAAATCTCCACTTAGTACATTCAGACATATCAGATACTTTCTCTCTTTTTTTTTGGAATATACTCCTGGATTCCCCCCATCAAACTACTCTGTGATGTACTCTTTAGGCCTGCTGAATATCCTAAAATCTCTCCTCACAACTGTAGAGACTTCCTTTTGTTTCTCCCCTGTGAGGAATCCCCTATACCTTGGATTTTCTCCTCTTTCTTGAATTACTTCTTTGTTTGGCAAGGGTGTGTGTTTTCTAAAAGTTTTCTGAGAAAAGGGACATTGAGGGAAATTTTTAAGACTTTGCATGTCTAAAAAATCTATCTGTAAGTTTGAATAATAGTTTGCATAGATTCGTATTTCTGTTTTGGAAACCATTTTCCTTGGAATTTTGGAGATATTCCTTCATTGTCTTCTGGTTTCTGGTGCTGCTGTTGAAGAGCAGGAAGCCATTCTAATTACTAAAACTTTGAATTAGACCTTATTTTTATCTTTGGATGGTTTTAGAATTTTTCCTCATCCCCAGCATTCTGAAATTTTATGATGTTGTGGCTTGGTGTCTGAGTGAAAGATTAATAAAACCCTTTCTCCTTCCTCCTGTGAAAATGGCCTCCTGTTGATCTTCTAACACTGTTTCTCTGTAATCTACTGAAGGTGAAATGACCACTGTGTAACCGTGTAACGCTACCTAATGGTAAACATAGCCCTTGATTGGTAAAATGCATCTGAGCTGGGAGGGTTGTGAATAAACTGTAAATATTTGGGGGAAGCCATAGCTTTGGGCATTCCCAAATGCGGTGTGACATATGCAGGTGTTTTTCTTGCTGAGTCCTGAAACTATACTCATGGACTGGCATAAGAGATACTGTCTTTTTGTGGAATGAGGCTACTAAGCTAGGATGGTTCCTGCACCCGCCTGTGTAAGCTTGTTTCCTTGTACCCGAGCCATCATTTTGGGAACAAAAGAACAGGCCTGGATTGCTGTGAGGACTTGCATTGAAGGGATGTATCTGATGCTGCCCTGCTGCTAAGTAGTGTGTTACGTTTCTTGCCTTGCATTCTTCTGTAAAACTGAGTAAACTAGTGAGAAGAGAGCCTTTTTGGGTCTTATGAGTGTGCCTGTCTGGCTGAGCCCAAAAACCAGGGCTGCTGATCAAGCAGGGTGAGTATTGCAGTAGGGCCTCAGAAGTGGGATAGACTTTTAGACCTTGACTCATTGTGGCCAAGGCACTATGAGATTAAAAAGTACAGGTAAGTAGGTAGGAAAGTACTGATGAGACACCATGCCGGGGTGGGGGCTGATCCACTTATGATTTAATGACAGAAGTGTTGTGGCCATTGAGACGCCTGGAGCACAGAATTTAAGGAAGGTCCTTACTCTTAGGGTCATATACTTGTACCATATGTAAACTTGCATGATTCTAAGAGTGAGTGCCTTTTTAAATTTCGCATTCATAGGCACCTCATTTGCCTCACCCCAGTCCTGGTCCTGCGTTGCAAGTGAATGAAACTATCTACCTTGAGAGGGAAGATGAAGACTGAAGCGAGTAAATTTGTATTGAGAGGAAAAGTGCCCATTCCTCTCATCAACCATATAGTGGACCTGACCAAAAACCAAGCCATTTAGATCTGGCTCATACCAGCTCACGGAAGCTGATTGTGGGCATACATCTCTTCCCAGTTCCTCATACATCACAGTAGCTTGAAATTGGCCATGGTTGAGAGCTTTACCATGGAAATCAGTGAACAGTACAAATCAGGACCCCACCACCCACCCCAGAACCTATTCACCTAACCAATACATCACAGCCAGAAACCCAGTTGAAGCTGGGATGACAAAATGATTCCACTTTGGTGCTCCTGATGCATTTGGCCAAATGCCATTTGTGGAGGAAGAAACCCTGGCTGCAGTAGATGGAGGCCAAATCAGTCACTGGTTGATGGACAAAAGGTGGGCAGTGGAACCCACAGAGTTGTTTGTGAGTGGGATTATTATGAACAAAAGGGGTGGAGCCATTGGGTTGATTGAGAATGAGCCAGGGCTCAGGTTTTCATGAGGAAGTGCAATATGAGCTCATGCGAGGAAGGGAGGAGAGGAATATGCACACCCCTTTGGGTATGCCCACAAAGTCAGGCAGAGGCTGTCACAGCAAGTTAATGTTCAAAGCAGCCACAAGGAGAGGACTTTGTGGACGCTCACATGCTCTATTTGTTTGGGAGCTCTGACAAAGGCCACTGCAATTGATCCTGTTGATTTAATGCCAAACTGAATTCTAACCAATGTCCTCTGCTGCCATCTGGAGACAACCATTGGGATCTCAGGGACGAAACCCCCCCCAAAAAGTAAAGCTAGGCTGTTTTCAACACTATGAAGGAAAATAGCCGGGGCTTTTAAAAACTCAAGCTGGAAGGATATAATCAGAACCTTGTTCCATTGTGACTGAATAAAACTCTGGATGAAAAAAAAAAAAACAGTTGTTTCTAAAAGGGATAAAAAATGATACCAAATCGGGACGTCTGGGTGGCTCAGTCAGTTAAGCGGCTGCCTTCAGCTCAGGTCATGATCCCAGTGCTCTGGGATCGAGTCCCGCATCGGGCTCCTTGCTCAGCAGGGAGCCTGCTTCTCCCTCTGCCTGCAGCTACCCCTGCTTGTACTCTCGCTCACTCTCTCTCGCCCACGCTCTTTCTTTCTAACAAATAAATAAATAAAATCTTTAAAAAAAAAAGATACCAAATTTAGTGCTAACACAGTCCTGTGTTGTTTTAAACTTGTTTATGATTTCCAAGATAACTAATTTTTATAAGACCCACAATAAGTTTTTATCTAAAAAAAAAATAGGTCATTTGGTTAGGAATTGGAGAAAACACCAGTGTCCCATTAGGTAATACAATTTCCTGGTGGTCAGAAATACTAATCCAAGGATATGTGAGTGAACTGTGAGTAAATGGCAACAAAACCCTTTCTCCTTCCGCACTGGGGAAGTTACTGCAGGTTAACCTTCTGCTGTACTGCTTTCCTAGAAAACCTGATTAAAGGTGGAATGTCAGTGGTGTAATCAGGCTACATTCCTTAC